TTCCTAGTTTACAGCACATTTAAGATGCAAGTATTTTAGTAGGGCCCATTCTTTTTTACCTGAATTCGCTGAAAATCACGAGAATATAGAAAATAATGTAAATTTTGTGAAAAATTTTCCACATACGTAACTACGGATAACTTATTGTTATTCAGTAAGATTTAATATGCTATGAAAATTCAGCATTATGCCACTTAGTTTCAGTGAATTCCTACAACCTTTAGCTGCACCTATCCTCATAGCCTTTCAATATAAACCTGACAAGCGGTGCCTGTCCAGACTATTTCAAAGTCTCACTCCAAGGTTTGGTGAAAAGTTGGCAGCGCTGCATTAAGACAAACATGAAAGGCTATAACAGATATATTTTAGGACTACACGATTTTGACAGAAATTAGAATTGCTATTATTTTTTTTACCAAAATTGCATTGGGATTTTGTTTCTATTTTCCTCTGCACTTATTCCAAGTTTGTAGATGTTTTGCCCCAGGCTTTCAGTTTTTTAAAGCTTGCATAGAGAACATTGTTACTGGACTTTACTATAACCATTGTGTGAAAAATTGTTTACTCCTACTAGCATGCATGGATCTGCATGCTAGCTGCAATTTACCCTAAAGGGCTGGAGGGAGAAATTTAGTGTCTTACTCTTGTTAAATATAAAGTGAAAATTGTGTTTTGTTAAATTATGATTATGATGATATTTTAAGTCATTTAGTTAGAGAAATACTTCCATAGAAGTGTGAACAGTCCATGAACATTAATTATAGCACAATTACTTCCTATATACTATACTATATATATGGCAAAAAGATATTCAATATTACCTGAAAGCAGAAGATAAAGTTCAGCTCTGCATAAAGCATTGCCTTCAGGAGCTAAACGATTGCTATTCAATACGGAGTATTTAGTGCTATTAAAATATTTTTCACTGAGTATACTGTTCCCTGCTAAGCCAGTTACTTACACAAATAAACCACATTCTTAGTCCCTTCCTAACTGCCAGCACTGTTCGGGTAGCACTTATTATGGCAACTGCGGACGCACTTCTGCCGTAGCTTAGATGTCCATACGGATTTCAGGTGTTTGGATTGAGCCATAGTTTTTAAGCTCAGATTTATAGGTGTGCAGAAAACAGAGTACAAAGGTTCCCTCCTGGGACTTTAGTATGTATATAAGAGGATGCAATTAATTGCGTTCATTTTTTAATCACTTAAAAATGTTTTTTCATTAATTAATCAAAAATAAAGCGTCAACTTCATCTGCAACTGCCACTGTTCATCCACTTAAGAGTAGAACTGAGATAGTTTTTAAGACAAATACAGTGGAACTAAAAACATCTTGTATATAAAAAAAAACATAGTAACATACAAATAGCACTAGTAGTCCCATTCTATAAAGTTTAGATAGAAAAAAAAGGTTGCTTTTGGTTTGGATTTGGACTCATATCTCATGATTAGGACTCATATCTCGTGATACAAACGACTGTAAATGTGTTACACAGAGAGAGATGGAGCAATGATTGCATTGTTTCAGAAAATCTGCAGCTTGCATGTAAACATGAAAAACACAAAACTACTCTTCTCCAGTGTTTCCGCCGAATCCATATGGATGCAATGCTCACAAAATACCTTTGTATACATCTTAGTAAAGTAGTATTCCATGCATTACATGTTTCTCTATGCTTAATTTGCATATTATAAGAAAGTTCACATATATCTTTACATGTTCTTATTGCCACCTTTTTTAAGGACTGTACAAAAGAAAGTCCACAAGTTTTTTTTCAGTCATGCTATATTTAGCAAAGGGCTGCAAACCCACTTATAGGTCGGTGTCCAGCAGTTGAGATGGATGTTGAACTTAAGCACATTTGTGCCATTTAGTTTAAAAAAAACCCTACATGTTTTATATATCATGTACTATTTTTTTTATCTAAAAAAAACTTCAAGCTTTAACATTTAATAATCACATTCCAAAAAGATTGAATCAAAGACTTTTAACTGACTTGAAAGACTTTCAATGACTAATGGAGCATAAAGCTGTTTTTGGATGGTGCAGGAAATGAAGGAACAGAAATAAAGGAGGGAGGTAGGAGGGAGAAATAGCCTGAAGTGAAGGGTGGTCTAGAGGTGTATATGGGTGGAGGCAGGAGAGCCGAGACTCCGGGGGAGATTCAGAAGTTACAGATATAATAATTCATACAGTGATAATTAGAACTCTGGGGACTTTACGACACACAGCCTCAGTACCCCTCACTCTTTTAGTCTCTTTTACATCCACTCTACACTTACTCACTTTTGTCTCTCCCTCTGCTATAATATTTCTTCTGTTTTTGTCATACAGTATACAGATATATGTAGAGTTTTTGATGCTAATTACTCAGAAGGTTATTGAAATAGCCAAGTGTTGTGCAACTGGTCAGACAGGACTTTGATCAGACACCCTAAATATTCTGTGTTCATTAAAAATAGTTTTTTCTGTGAAGCTTTCTTTTTATTTCAAAACCTCATCCCAATTTTCTAATAACATTGTTTTATACATATTCAGTTTTTGTTAGTATATTTCTACTGAATGGTGAAGAAAGGTTGTATGTCTCCATTGTGACTTTGACAGTAATGGCGTTTCAGCAGGAAAAAAGGAACCAGATAATAAATCATTCTGTGAGGCTCGGGAAGGAGGAGGCGCTGGGTCGAGGGGTGATCAAAAGATGGTAATTTTGCAGGAAGGCGAGGATATGAAAGATTTAAGGGGGAAAATAGGATGAAGAGGATCTTTTGGGTGAGAGATATATGGAAGAGCTCTTTCTTACAGCTTTAATGTAGTTGGGATCTATCATTCCTAGTTCTGCAACTTGTGTATGGCAGCCTTTTCTCCTTCAGGAACAGGAACAGTGTGAAGTCCTGGTACTTCCATGATGCTTTTGAAGTTTCAGTGATTTTTTTTTTTTGGAAGTCATCAATTTTAAAGGAACCACATAAAGCATTAATAATTTTACAAAATCTAAGCATTTTCACATTGTCTTATAATTGTTTGAAAAAAAAAAGGCAAATATAATCTCTATGCCAACATATTGCCATACTGTACGAAAAGTACGAAAGTATAGGAAAAAAATGCTGTGTGGATTGGAGCTTCTAAATCAGTAGGAAATTTGAAGAATGTGTCTTTCCTCTCTTAAGTCACTGGGTAATAAATTAATTGTCTTGTAAATTACATTTTGTTATGCAAATCTCCTTTAGGCTGACCAGTCAAGGGAAGAACAGCATTTATCAAAAAGGCATAATAAATCTGAAGGATTCCTGCAGTGTGCAGCCACATCTCAAAATAAGATCCTGCTATGTCAGCAGTGTAGAATACGACAACCAGTACATTTCATATTTATTACAGCTTTTATGGTTCTACAAGAGGTGTAAGACGTGTAAATCTTGCTCACACAGTGCAAGAATCATTTACTACTACTAGCTGTAAAATACTGCTAATAAGAGAAATTAAAAGTGAATTCAGCAGTAAAATGTATTATAATAAATGTATTTGCTTTTGCTTTAACATTTTGTACTTGATTGTTAGACGACTAATCTTTATTATTCAAACAAAAAAGGAGGAAGCACATTTTATTTTGTCTCTGAAGCAGATAAACCACTCTATAATTTAGACATGTTTTAAAATTATTGGCAACTCTAAAATACAGTTAAGTAAAGATATTTGCAACTAATAATTTGCAGTTTTAAGTTGAACAAAGTATAACTGAACTTTTGTTGAAATTAATGGGTTACTGTATCACTGTGGTATAAATCTTATGCGACATGGAGTCAGCAATCCTCTTTAATCCTAAAAAGCCTTTTTGCCATTACCTCTTGGATAAGATAATAAAAAAAATACCTTAAATAACTGTTTATGGAGTTATTCAAATTTGAATATATTAAATGATTACTGTTAATAGTAGCGGGCTGCTCAGTGCAACAGTGGACAGCACTGCTGCCTTGCAGCAAGAAGGTTCTGGGTTTGATTC